GGGGAGACTTGATAATGACCAACAACATTCTCAGCACGCCTGACCACCCACTGCGTAACCTAGTAAATCTTTGCGGTAGCACTAATCTTAGAGGGCGCGCACAGAAACTGGGCCTCGAAAGTAGCAGGCTGGGTGTCAGGCACAACTTCTATTCCCTAAGAGTTGTTAAACCCTGGAACGCTCGTCCTGACGGTGTGATACAGGCTACTTCGTCTGAATCTTTTGAAAGCTGACTGGATACGTGTGTCCGAGATCTGCCCAGAACTAATTGAATTTTCACATCTTAACTGCCACTTTTCCTCCTTCTTTACTTGTACACAGGTTAACAATCGCAAGGAGTAGTGATCCACGGATTGTAGGTGCAGAAGCCAGTTGAGCGAAAGCCTCTATTTCGTCATCAACCATTTGAACTGTCCATTTTTACATTTGTGGAGTTCTCATAAACAGTTTCCCGCTATCGTTCACTTCCTATTCAGGGATATATACCAACAGATCCATGAAAGACTCCATTCCTCCCAGAAGTTCACAGCTCCCTACCATCTCAGTCATGCGCTTTGAAAACAGAAAGTGAATTTTTCCACGCCGTTGACATTTTTGCTTTTGTTGTGTGATCCACATTAAGGGCTATCTTATAAACCTTGAGGTAAAGTGTCTGAGCTAATGTTTGAAGTTTAACCATTTTTTGAGGCTTGAGGTTGGTCTGCGTGTTGTCACAACTTTAGTCCCTTCGTCAGAATTTTGACCGAGTACTTCGGTTAGTGCACAGTACTAGTGACTAACGTGGTCAGCGATCGTCCCAGCTGCAAATTTTCACTGGATGAAGGTATGCAATGTGCTGCATGTGGATATTATTTCAACAAAGCTTGTACCAGATTGACATCAACCATGTACAAGCGTTACAGCAAACCAGCTTCTCCCTGGTTATGTGACTTCTGCTGCAGGCCTTTGCCGATCCTCATCCAGGAAGCTGTTGAAAGTTTGCTCGTTAAAAAGCAGCTATGTAGAAATGAGAGCTGTCATTCTGTTGCGGCATCAGATGATGACGCTGCAATTGTTATCAATAATATTTCTGAAACAGGACATCTCAGTGAACTAGTGGATACTTGTGATAAAGTTGGTAAAATTACACCAGTTCCGAAGCGTACGCGACGAAAGAGAAAACAGAGGGTATATGGTACACCAACCTTGGTGCCTGAGGATTCACCAAAAGAGTTCATTCCTGATAACAGCATTGACTAAGTAAAGGTGGTCGGAGAATCTTCACGGATTTCACCGAGAAAGCATCCGAAGAGACTGACAAAGGTTATCAGGGAAGGTACTAAGTGTATGAAACCCGCTGAGAAGGTTCCGAGGGCCGTCAACACACGACTCAAGGGTTACACCCCAACGCCTATTGTGATCTTCTGGAATGTTGAGGGGTCATCAGACAAAGATGCTTCAATACGTCACTGCCATGACCTGGAGCTAGTCGAGCTGGCCATCAGGCATATTCTGCCTGAAAAGTCTAAAGGGGCGCACATCTCCAAAGTAGTTGGGCTGGGTAAGAAAACGGACGCAAAACCTGACGAGAAAAGAATTTTAAAGGTTGTTTTAGGCAACAAGGTTGAAGTGAATGTACTCTTGAGCAACGTATCCAAACTACGAAATTCGAATATCCGCATCCTACCTGGCTGGCCTCTCGAGAACCGCACCGAAAGAAGAGGAGCTGTTGTCAAACTTAAGGCTTGACAAGGCAATGGAGAAAATGATCTTAAAATGGTGGGTTTTCAGGTTGCGAGGTCTTGGAAGTGAGTGCTGCCAAGGCCTGTATGGGTGTGTCATGGAACTCTTCCAACACGATGAAAGTAATCTACACTAATGTTCACAGTATTAGAAGTAAAATGACACACCTCGAGACTCCAATCTGCGAACTAGGTCCTGACATAGTAGCCCTTACTGAAACCTGGTTATTAAAGGATTTAGATTTTACGCGTAATGACGGATAGGGTTGTGGGTCGCAAAGGTCGCGGCATGCTATTATGTGTTCAGGATGACGTTCACGTACGATTAATCACTTCTGAATCGCATGAATGCGGAGCCTGTGAAGTGGCCAGTTGCGAGGTGAAGTCAAAGCAAGGTTTCTGTACTGTCGGGATCATTTACCGTAGGCCACCCCTCCTTGCAAATGACTTCGTGCTAACCCATATACGTAACTGGGGTAGAAGTTACAGATGCCTAATAGCTGGGGATTTGAATGCGCCACACATAAACTGAACGGAGCTAAAAGTCCCAATATCCGGCAGTTCCTTCGAACACGATTTACTCTTGACGGTCTTAGAATCTGCTTTAGTTGGAAACGTGACATGTGCAACACGTTACGATTTGGAACACAAACCATCGTTGTTAGATTTAGTTTTAACCGATCAGTGTGATGACGTTCTGGATCTACGACACTTACTTCCGTTGGCTAACAGCAACCATGTGGTACTAAACTTTGGTTCCCGGACTAATGAGTTTGGTCATGTCAATGACCCCCCTAGACCTGATGTATGGCACGCAAACATTCTAAGTGTAAGGGATTGCGCAGTCAGTAAGGACTGGGCCGTCTACAAGAACTCATCAGTTGAGAACGCATGGATTAAGTTTAGAACTCTATTTGAAGAGGTAACGACGCCACTTATTCCATGTTCGACTCCACGAAGGTCCTCACATCGCCCTCCGTGGTTTAGTAAAGACTTTAAGAGACCATTAGAGAGGAGGAAACGTTTATGGGGCTCGTTTCTGGAAAATAGGCTGGAAACATTCGAGACTGAGAACTGTAAAGTCCGTAACCTCCGCAAAACTTTGATTGCAATGTCTTGAATGTTCTATGGGAGGCAACCTGTGAGGGATTGCCGAAACTGCGTTAGGGACATATTGGAAAGATCAGTGACTGGCTCAGCAATAATGTCTGCCAGCGAAGATAAAAGTCTGGAATGTAACTCATCGGAACCTGGGGATTTTCCAGGTTTAAGATTAATGAGCAACTGTAAGACTCTTTCCTTTGTTGTGAACACAGCATCTATTAGTGGAACAGTGCTGATATAACTATTTAGCACTTCATCGTCATGATCTACGGTTCCATTCATCATAAGGAGTACTGAAGGAAAGGGTGGAACTCCCTCTTTGGCGACAGATGAGAAGTTCGATAGTCTGGCATATTCTAATCTGTCCAAAGCTGAATGCCTATCGGATTACCTTAGTGAAGTCTGCTCTATAGATCATGACGATGGGGTGCTAAATAGTGGTGTCAGCACTGTTCCACTAATAGATACTGTGTTCACAACAAAGGAAAGAGTCTTACAGTTGCTCATTAGTCTTAAACCTGGAAAATCCCCAGGTTCCGATGAGTTACATTCCAGACTTCTATCTTCGCTGGCAGACATTATTGCTGATCCAGTCACGGATCTTTTCAATATGTCCTTAACTCGGACTCGCCTCCCTAGCGACTGGGAAGATGCCATTGTCAGCCCAGTTTTTAAGACCAGCAGTCACAATTGGTGTCTGACTGTCGCCCTATGAGTCTAACCAGCATAATTGTTGAGACTTTAGAAAAAATAGTTCGTGAGAAGGTACTTAAACATGTTGGATCAACCAATCTTTTGACACCATAACACGGTTTTCGCACTGGACACTCCTATCTAGCTAACCTCCCTATAGCAAGAGAGGAATGGGTTGCAACCTGTGATTGCAAGCTGCTAATAGGTACCGTGTTTATAGACTTAATTAAGCCATTCAATAAAGTGTCGCATGTGAAATTACTAGGAAACCCCTCCTCCTTCGGGTTCAGTGCTTCATTGCAAGCCTGGGATGGGGACTTTTTGCACGACAAAAGGCAAAGAGTAGGGGTGAAAGGGATACTATCCGGGTGGAAACCTGTGGTGAATGGAGTTCCCCAAGGAACAATCCTGGGTCCACTACTTTTCTTGTTATATATCAACGAATTGCCAAAAATGCTCCACTCTTCGGTACTGTTATTCGCAGATGATGCAAAGATTTGGACAGCCATATGCAGTGATGCAGATAGGTATGCACTTCAGGGGGATTTAGATGAACTAGTAGGCTGGTCCAAATGCTGGTGTCAGGAAATCAACTCTAACAAAGTGCAATAGTGCACATAGGTCATAGCAATTGTTTCCAGTAGTCCTGATGGTACACCACTACTCCCAGTCTTTGAACTATAAAATTTAGGTGTTATCATTGGTCATGATTTGAAAACATGTAATGCAGCTGCAGCAAACGGCTTCCGCGTATCATGGTCCTTCCGCAGAGCTTCCAAAAGTTTTGATCAGGACATGTTCAGAATACTCTATTTTACTTATGTTAGACCTCACTTGGAATACTGCATTCAGGCTGCCAGCCCATGTCTAAAAAAGGATGCCGAAGCACTCGAGCGTGTTCAAGGGGTAGGTACTAAGCTTGTGACAGGCCTTTCGAATCTGTCCTATGAGGAACGACTAGACTGGCTAAACTTATTCCCACTGTCTTACAGTAGGAAACAGGGTGATCTCATACTGGCATTTCGTATTCTTAATAGTGATTTCGGTACTGATATGTCCGATCTTTTCTTGCCCGCTAGGAATGACTACCTCCGAAGGTATTACAAGAAAATCCAAAAACCGCGATCGAATCAACTTAGCTTGAATTTGAGTTTCACAAATCTTGTTGTCAACGCCTGGAACTCCTCACCTCAGCAAGTAGTGTCAGCACACACCTTCCGTCAACACTTTCAAGAAGAAATTAGAACTTCACAGAGATATTTTCTGCAAGGATTAACACAGGCCAACAGGCCTACTATTATTATAACTGAAAATTGAAAAAACCTATTTCACCGGAGGTAGAAGCACGAAAGCAAAGTAGATTACCTTATCCCCTGTAAGAACGAACCGAACAAAACCTCACGAACTATACGTGACAGACCAAAAACAAACAACTTCTTGTGTTCGCACTGTTGTCGTTGGATGTTCGGCACTGGATGCTGGAATTTAGTGGCGCTTTATTTGAGGCTGCCCGATTATTCATCAATTTGTTAGCTGAATGGTTGCTGATTCAGTAATTAAACCTGTTGTGGAGGAGCATAGTTCAAAAAAAGAGGAGAGTGCTAAGGATGATCTGGTAATATTCTTGCCCTATAAACATCTTTAGTCTGAGGAGGACAAGCAGCTCCAAGAAGAGTTGAAAATGCTCGTAGAAAGGCTCGAAGAACCTAATCAGGATCTTCACAAGCCAGCTTTAGAATCTATGTGCACGTTGATAAAGTCTTCTACCACTTCTATGACATCTGTGCCAAAACCTCTCAAGTTTCTAATGAACTATTATGCGAAAATTAAATCTTTCTACGGTACCATATACGACGTGACCACCAAAGTAGGTTATCGTAGTATTCATGTACAGCGTACAGCAATTATGTGCCGATGTCGTGTCTGTTTTAGGTATGACCGTGACGGATCAACCTGAAACACGTTATGATACATTGACGTATAGGATTCTTGGCTGCCAGGGTGATATTGGGGCATGGGGCCATGAGTACGTTCGCCACTTAACAAATCAAATCGTTGCTATATGGCAGGAAAAAGAGTATGATTCGCTTGTTGACAATCCTGAAGGTATGAGTCTCAGTTATGACTAAGGTTGTTGTAGCCACAGAGGAAATGAAAATGCACCGGGAGCAATGTCTTGCTCTTGTTCACCAGATAATCCCTTATCTAATGGAGCACAATGCGGAGGCAGAAGCGGTTGACCTTTGTGTTGAGATTGAGCAGCATCACCTTCTGGAGAAGTACACATCGGACTTAAATTTCGCTCGAGTATGTTTATATTTGACAAGCTGTGTGGCGTACTTACCTACACCGGATAATACTAAAGTAAGTTGCATTTTGTAAGTCCTCTAAATACTGCGAGTTTTCTCACTGTGACTTGTATTTGTAATTCTGTACATGTTTTGATGTTTTTCAAGGGCAAGAAATTACTTCAATGTGATGGTTGGTGATAATTTGTGACAGTGTTCCTATGCTGTAACGAATAAAGAATAATTTATTTTGGTTTCATAGCTTCAGGTACTTGTACGAGTGATCCCCGAATGTGTAGTAACTGCTAATTATCTGAAATCCGAAAAACCACTAAGTTTTTTGTCGAGTATGTTTTCAGATGATAATCAGTGGAACTTAATAGGACCACCTGGAAATTGTCTGTTTTCTTTCTTTACGTTACCCGAGGCACTTTTACTGATGACCTGAAGTTATTCTCCTAAACTGTCAGTGTTAAAGATCAACGAGTTTTAGCGGGCGCAAGCAGTGATTCACTTCACAGCCTTCACTGTAATCAGAACATCAGCATTTTCCGTGTTATTAGCTGCACACTCAGGTAGCAGATCTCATTTCCATTTCCTTGCATATTGCGCATTTTTATCATTGACTTCTTTTCTTAGTAACTAAGCGGAATGTTTCCAGTCATCAATTTAATGTCCTTAAATACTCTATTTAGCAAATTACATCACTCAAATTAAAAGTTAGTAATTCCTTGCATTTGTGACCTTTCCGATGAATCACGCTAAGTCTGTATGTAACCAACTATATCTCGTACTGCGCACACAACACGTGTCCGTTGCAAATCCTATACTTCTTGTCTCTCTCACATTCTTCATCCACAAAGCTCTACTCAAGTGCTTGAAATCAATTACTTGTAACCTCATTTCTGTTTTTTGTGTAGCCATACTACTGATGCTTCAGGCAAACAAGTTTCTCCTATGTGCTTCATTTCGAGTCTTTTGACACTGCTTAGGTCCTATGCTGGGTTATTTTGGGATTCGATCAAATTTACCATCACTGGTGGGTTAAATGAACTTTAGATTTCCAGTAGGATGCGAAATCTTACTGTAGACACTTCTCTCTAAATCACCATCTTGTTTTCGTTTTATTTTGCAATCTGGCGTAGCTAATACTCTTTGTTAATCCTGTAAATCGTAAGTAAATTGGATCTGATTCAGAAGTAACTTTATGCGTTTGCGAAAATGACTTCAATGCATAAGTGGGTAAGTTGAGGCAGCCAGAAAGGCATTCAGGTGGCTTTTTCAGAATCCTAACCGAACAAACGGATAACGGTGATCGCCTGCTATAACTGGTCAGATAACTACCTCTCTTGGTTGGGTTGTGTTATCTGGGCTGCATGGTTTAGTCGTGGAGTTTTCATTGTCTTTCTAGACAGCATTAACTTCAGTCTGATAACCACCTATTTCTGGCTAGCACTGACTTCAAACATAACGAAAAGTATCGTCTAACGTGACGGTTACCAACCTCAACTCAGTGGTAGGCACAAGTAGATCATGTTTCAACTAGTTATCGCTGAGGAGGGTCAGTGTAAAACTGTCGCTGTCGCGACAACGCGTTTGTCCTACCGCGTGCACGTCTGTGCCTAAATGAAAGTGGAAACACTACCACAACGAGACCACTATGAATGCAGCTTGACAGAGAGCATTTAGGCTGCTTTCAGTGAGAAATTGGCTATACAGTTATCTGAACGAAACATCACTCATCAGAAAGAAGCCTGGTGTAAAAACAGCACCGTGAACCGTTACCGACTGTCGGTGTGGCTTACAAAAGTCAGTGTATCTCACCGGTTTCTGAATCACTGAATGCAAGCGAACGCTTCCTTTCATGCTCAGGGGACATTGAGTTGCTTCCGCTAACTCAAATGTAAACCGACTAGATATTTGTGTAGTGACGGTAAGAAGTAGTGAGCAGCGAAGGCTGGCGAGATAAAAAGTGGCGACAGTTATTTAGAATTATGAATGGAACAGTTCAAAAGGTCAGTATTTAGTGAGACTGTAATGAAGAGGGATGGGTATGTGATGTACTCTCAGGGGAGATGGGTGGAGCGATGGGCGGAGCACTTTAAGGAACAGTTCAACTGGTCTCCAGCCGCTATTTTGTTACACGCTGTTTAGTCGATTCTTGAATGGGACATTGAGGGAGTTAAGGAGACTAAGTGACCTGAAGCCAGAAAGGGCAGCAGGGTCAGATGCGCTAGCACGTGATGTATTTACGGACAGTGATCGTGGATAATTGCACAGGTTAACTGAAGTGTTACTCACCATATGAAAGTTAAATACGGTCCCCTTCGGCTGGTCTCATTCATTGCTTGTCCCAGTACTAGAGAAAAGAGAAATATCCTTTAGTGATAGAGAGACAGACAAAATCAATGTAAAACCTCACATCAGTGCATCGGTTCAAGTTTCCTCACCTCTCAGTAGCATGCAAAGAACAAGTGGATAGAAAAGGATTGATGTCAGTGTGTAGGAGGAAAGAGGATTTGAAATTGAAGATTGGTGAAAATGCTCTCCGATTCTTAAGAACTGGATCGACTGGATATCTGAGATAAATTCATGACACCATTTGATGTTTCCTCATTATTTACGAACATACCAGTAGATGAGACAATCGACAATCTGTCAGAAGTCTGATCTGATTAACGAAAATAGGTCTCAAACAATTACTGCTCATCTATACAAAATGTGTTCAGTTCCAGTTTAATAATCTACACTGGCAAATTGATAGAGCGGCTATGGGTTCCCCGTTAGGAACTATCCTAGCTGATATATTTATAGCTCATCTCGAACGAACATGTCTAAACTTTGTGATCAAAGAAATGACATACTACCTGGAAGTATGTCGATGATACTTTCATTGTTTGTGATAATATGAATTATGTGTCAGAGTTGTTCGATACCTTCATCTAAATATGAATTTCACGATAGAATAAGAAAGTGAGGACAGATTCAATTTTCCGGATCTAAATATAAGATGGAGATGTGATGGTACAGTTGAAAAAACTATCCACAGAAAAGACATGGACTAGTCAGTACCTTCACTACAATAGTTTTTATCATGTCTGCTATAAGCATGTGTTAATTAGGACGCTCTTCGCTGGAATATGAATACTATGTTCAAAAGACAAACACGAAGAAGAATTCTGTATAATTGAGAACTCTTATAGAGAGCGGATATCCGAATAAGTTCATCATGAAGCATAAAAATGAGTTTATTGAGAGACCCAACCACCTAACTGTTGAGAAGAAACCTGTTTTCCTTCGTCTAGCATTCGAGAATGATAAGACATGTGAAATAGAAGAATAAAAGCTGCACTAAGGGGGAGCTCCCCTGCCGCCAGACTGGTCTCATTTCAGAATACAGTGTGCTCAGTAACATAGTCTAAAGTAGACTAATACCCAACTCAGGTCACCTCCAACTGTATATATCGAATCACCTGTGCTTGTGGAAGAAAGCACATACGACGGACTAAAAGAAAGGCGTTTACTTGATTTTACTAGCACATTCTAAGAAACCTGTGTCTGATAGGTAGCAAAATCTTTATCAGCTCAATCACCAGGCACTTTGTCGAAACATCAAGTAGATGTTTCTCAGTCCTTCAGGACAGTCAACAAGCAAAACTCCATGTTCATTACGGCTTGCAGGAGCTGACGCCATGAAACATTTCCAATTTGATCTGTGTACTCAGAAAGAGACTGTAATTGACCTTTCTTTACCATGGTAGCCGTATAAAATTTTTCGTATATATATGCTTATAGTTTTCGTTTTTTGACTACGCCAACTCTTCACTAGCAACTTTTATTTTTTATTTGTCCCTTGGGTTCCTAGTGGAACATAGGGCTTCAGTAGCACGTCTCCATTTCACTCTCTTCTCTGCAGTCTTTTCAACCTGGCTCCACCAATGCCCATTTCTTCCTCACATGATCTCCTCTATGCCACCCTCAGACGCCCAACTCATTGTTTCCCCTTTGGGTTCCGCTTGAGGGCCTGGCGCATGATGTCCCCGACCAATCGTCCTGGTGTATGCTCAGTCCATCTCCACTTTCTTCTTCTGCATATTTGTTGAGCGATAGGTTCTTGGTTGGTTCGTTGCCTGCCGGCCAGAGTTCCTTGTTGCTTATTCTTTTTGACCATCTATCTTCAGTATCAAGCGTAAGCAGCTGCTGCTGAATGTCTGTAGTTTGTTGGGAATGCTTTTCATAACGCGCCAAGTCTCTCAACCATCACATAAAAGCACCGACTTGGCTGACAGTGTTGAAAATCCGGATCTTATTCACGCTTTATGCCGAGTGCAATGCAGTAGATCTCCATACTGATTTCAGATTAATGGTGTGTCTTGCTGTCGTTCCGATCCTGGCTTTGACAACCTCATCTGTGCCGCCTGCAGTTGAAACGATGCTGCCTAGATAAGTGAAAGAAGCTACTTACTTTCGGTCTCTGTCGTTCATGGTGATTGGTACTTCTTGTCGCTATTGGTTGGGTATTTTCATCACCTCTGTCTTCTCTATATTTACTTAAAGTCCTATCCTCCCTACCTCTTCTGTCAACTTGTTGGTTTTCTCCTGTAGATCTTCGAGTTTGTGCGACAAGATATTAGACATAAATCATCGACAAAATCCAAATCTTCTATGGTCTTTTCATCGGTCCAGCCAGAGTATACCCCTTTTTTCACTCCTCACAGTTTGTTGCATAATTCAGTCACCACAATTAGGAAGATGATCGGTGATAGTAGGCGGTAGCCTTGTCCTACTCCTGTCATCACTTCAAAGGCGTCACTGAGCTTCCCATTGTGAATCACTTGGCATGTGGCCTTTTCATGTAGCTGTTGAATGAGGTTGATAAAGGTTTGTAGCACTAAAACCGTAGTGTTGAAGCAATTTCAAAATTACTTCTCGGTCGACGCTGTCGAGGGCTTTTTCAAAGTTGGTGGAGTTGAGTTAGAGAGTTGACTACCACTATTCTCTGTTCTATGATGATGCGTAGCGTAGCGTTGCCATTTGATCCGCACATGATTTGTACTTCCTGAAGTCAGCCAGTCT